GATATTTATGGCAGAGTATTAAAGATATTTATGCAAAGAGGCATATGTGAATCAACATATCATATGGAAGAATAATGTTGTACAATGATATTTATGGCAAGTATTAAGGCAAGGCATATGTGAATCCAACATACCATATGGAAGAATAATGTTGTACAATGATATTTATGGCAAGTATTAAGTCTTTGTTATTGAGAGACTTGCTAACTACTGGAACTCTGTTTTCATATCAGCGCTGTTTACATCTGACATCTTTTATGTCCACTGACATTTAAAGTTGTCCATTCCTAAATAAGAAAAATACCATTTGACCACCATTTATGACAAAATCTGGTAGAAGCAAGTAAATATTTGTTGGTTTACTTCAGAAAGCATCCCCATCCTCTGTAGCAACCCATACTTGTCGTAAGAGGCGACTAACAGGATCGGGTGGTCAGGCGCGCTGACTTGGTTGACACATAGTATCCCAAATGCGTACATCGATGTTCATAATGTTAATCACTGGATTTTGTGGGTCCACACTCGAGTATTTACAGGCCCCGCCACATAGCTGGAGTATTGATGAGTGCGGCGTTAAACAACAGAGAAACCAACCCGCATAGTCTCCTAAATCATAGGGGCGGTGGGGTAGTCTAGTGGTTAAAACGTTTGCTCGTCACGCCAAAGACCCGGGTTCGATTCCCCACATGGGTACAATGAGTGAAGCCCACTTCTGGTGTCTCCCGCCGTGATATTGCTGGATATTGCTAAAAGTGGCGTAAAACCAAACTCAGTCAGTCAGTCAGTCCTAGGTCATATCTGATTCTGATTTACCTACCTGAGCTAAACATGAAGAGACCTTTCATATTGAAACACATAGTTTTGCTAACCATATGTGCACAACAATTTCCACTGCAACCTAAAATTAGGTCTATGAAAAGGGATGACTTCCAATAGTCAGCTATGGATTGTCTAATCCAGACTCGATTATTTACAGACCGCCGCCAAATAACTGGAATATTGCTGAGTGCAGCGTAAAACTTAACTCACTCACTCATTCACCAGTCGGACACTGTACTGTTTCGGGGCGGGGGATAGCGTAGGGGTTAAAGCGTTCGTTCAACACGCAGAAGACCCGGGTTCGATTCCCCACATGGGTACAATATGTGAAGCCCATTTCTGGTGTCTCCCGCCGTGATATAGCTGGAATATTGCTAAAAGCTAAAACTAAACTCGTAAAACTAAACTCACTCACTGTGCTGTTTCACTATCATATAAACGTATATCTTGGATAAACAGAAACAGAAACAAGCGTTAGCAACAGATGATACGTCATTAAAGCAGTTCTTGCATGAATCGGTAAACAATTTCTTTCATAGACATTGTATTTAATTGTATATTTATTCAAATACTTGTGACATATGTTCTGATTTTAATCCACTGTACAAAGTAAGCACCCAGGCGCATCTCCGACGACCATCTGTGAAGTACAACGGGGTGACAGTGTTGCCTGCGACATCTACAACGGGGTTTCTAATCCAACGTTATGAAGGTGTAACGGCAGATACTGGATAACAATTCTGAAAAATAACCATGAAACTGTTATTTAAATACTATTCGAAGAAACCGTTACATGTTTGAAAGTTTAATATGTGTTTGAATAGACTGTTTGTTTGTTGTTTAAGGCCGATCTAAGCAATATATCCCAGCTATATGGCGGCGGTCTGAATTTAATCGAGTCTGGACCAGACAATCCAGTGATTAACAGCATGAGCTGTTGGGGTGCGATGACATGTGTCAACGAATGATGATTTACGTAAAGTGGGTGAGTGAGTATAGTTTTACGCCGCTTTTAGCAGTATTCCAGGGGGATTCACATTGTACCCACCTGGGGACTCGAACCCGAGCCTTTGGCGTGACGAGCAAACGAACGCTTTAACCACTAGGTTACCCACCGCCCGGCTGAACAAAGGACCAACTAGAATATTAAGATATAACCGTAGAAGCACGTACTATGAATCATCAGACCCGTCTGTATATTTCGACAGGACCAACATCTTAAAATACGTTTCACACAGTAACTATGAACTACAAACCAATCACCTATTTCCGTCAATGTTCAAGGCATTCTTGAGGAAGTCGATGATAGGCTGGGTGTAGGCTGGGTTCCTGTCTTTGTCAAACACGTCTATTGAGTGGATCTGAAGGAAGCAAGTCGGGGCCCTGCTCTCCAGGCGGTACATGCGCAGTCCAGTTTGTATTGTTGTGCTCATTCTCTGCAATGTTTTGTGAAGATCAGGGTACAAATAGTAACAAACAAAACCGTGATGTAAAGAAATCGATGAGAAAGTGGAATTCATTGTACGGTTTCGACAATATTATAAGCACGAGTTCATGAATTACCATCAATATATTTTGTGGAAACAGGTGAAAAGGTCAGCGAACTCTGCCCAATGGTGGCTCCGTCAGTCAGTACCAGATATATTTACCAGCCCAATGGTGGCTCCGTCACAGTCAGTACCAGATATATTTACCAGCCCAATGGTGGCTCACGTCACAGCCAGTACCAGATATATTTACCAGCCCAATGGTGGCTCCGTCACAGTCAGTACCAGATATATTTATCAGCCCAATGGTGGCTCCCGTCACAGTCAGTACCAGATATATTTACCAGCCCAATGGTGGCTCCGTCACAGTCAGTACCAGATATATTTACCAGCCCAATGGTGGCTCCCGTCACAGTCAGTACCAGATATATTTACCAGCCCAATGGTGGCTCCCGTCACAGTCACAGTCAGTACCAGATATATTTACCAGCCCAATGGTGGCTCCCGTCACAGCCAGTACCAGATATATTTACCAGCCAATGGTGGCTCCCGTCACAGCCAGTACCAGATATATTTATCAGCCCAATGCGACTGAAAAGCAGCAACAAATCGGCCTAGTCCTTCAAATGATAGGGTCGTTACACTTCCTAAGATCCAGAATTAAGCTTATAACTCGGAAACACACATCTCCCATGTATGAATAATCGTCACTGACCTCCATGGGTTTGTTGAGAACCTTAGAGATTGTCTTCGCCAAATTGACGTCAAGATCTTCCGGGACCTCGCTGTCCTTGAGGTTTGTCTTTAACAGACATGTCGGCATGGCTGGAGATGTGGGTCAGGAAATACGAAGATAACTAGCTGTAACTGTCTGAAACCATAACGTTACTCAATCATAATCATGATGAGATATACACACATGACCTATTCCGCGGTATTATTGTAGACTTCGGTATTATTCCCAACAGACAATAATAGTACTAATAATGTAATGGTCAATTTATAATGGGCATTTATCCATGCAGATTGCATGCTCATAGCGCTGATATATTACCCCTGTTCAACGACTACAGAACAATCCCTTTGGAGAATACAACCGGTCGCCTGTCAGGCGCTCAAGGTTCACATTCACACTACCATCGTATCATACCAGGTACAGGGGCGGTGGGGTAGCCTAGCGGTTAAAGCGTTGGTTCGTCACGCCGAAGACCCGGGTTCGAATCCCCACATGGGTACAATGTATGAAGCCGATTTCTGGTGTCCCCCCGCCGTGATGTTGCTGGAATATTGCTAAAAGCGGCGCAAAACCAAATTCAGTCAGTCAGTCATACCAGGTACCCACTTTACTGCTGTGTGGACAGAGGTAATATTGAACAAAATCACTTGCCTACGGTGAGGCCACATGCGTCACATGTGCTTCGTTGTGGGGCAGGATTGAAGGCCTAGACACTCTCAGGAGTCAAGCTGCCAAACACGGCCACCAAGGACTCTCTGTGCCCAAGGTTGCTTAACTTCACCTGATTTGTGACCTGAGCTCTATGCACAGGACCACACGACGCCACATAAGGGTATCTCGATAGTATCATCAATCCACACAAACATGAAGCTTTTTGTAAGATCAGTGTAAACAGTCTCCCTGGTATTAAAACGTTAGAGTGAATGACTTTGACGGGTTCTGTGTAGAAGAAACATGGATATTGTACTCCAACCATCTATTCAGTATGTAACAGTTAAATCAAACGTCCGTCTTGTGTGTATCCAGAATCAATTCTGGGTGTATTATACCTTACGATAGTAATCTTAAGAAGGTATAATAGACGAAACAATCAGCTGCAATGCGGGTCGATGTTTTTTATATTGTTTTTTGCAAGCGTTGAATTATATATTTAACGCCCTTTAGACCATACAGCCGCCATGTGTTTGTTAACTGTAGTTTTAGAGTTGACCAATGCGCATTTGCCTCGACCATTCTTACCGCGTCTGGTTGTAGAAGGTTTGAGACAGACGCTGCCGCTTATACATATAAAACGACAATGCTTGAGAATAACCATGTCTTTCCCACGAAACAGATTCCATTAGGCGTAAAAAGCAACATTGCAGTGCATGAATGGTTCTCTTAATGATGTCAGTAATAACACTAGGTGTTTGCGAAAAGGTAAAGCTTGGCTTGCCCTGACGGTAGCACCCACCAATCAGAGAGTTTGCACTAGAAGGAGGCGTGTATTGCTTCATATCGCACAACAGTTTGTCTGTCACACGACGGGGGCATGTCAACAAACCAGTCAGACAATCAGCGAATGTTTGATAACATATGTGGCGTCCTGCAGAGCCTCGGATCCATGTCAACCGGATTTAGCGAAAGTGGGTATACTACCATCACTGTGCATCGAATACATACATGACTGGGGCGATGGGGTAGCCTAGTGGTAAAACCCCTTACGCCAAAGACCCGGGTTCAATTCCTTACATGAGTTCAATATGTGAGCCCGGTTATGATGAACCATGACTGTTTTGTTTCAGTTCGTAGTCTAACCAACCCAGATATTAGTTAGACTACGACCGGGACTACTTTCTAAATGTTTGCTTTCATGTTGGAATCTGACCAGCTTTACTTCACATCAGCGTTTGCCAATTACAATCAAGCAACCAAAACTAGGTCTTATGGAACAATAGAAAAAATAACAGCATTGCATAATTGTTCCATAAGACCTTTTCAACAATCTGCGCCTAGTTTTGGTTGGATGATTGTAATTGGCAAACGCTGATGTGAAGTAAAGCTGGTCAGATTCCAACATGAAAGCAAACATTTAAAAAGTAGTCCCGGTCGTAGTCTAATATCTGGGTTGGTTAGACTACGAACTGAAACTAAATAGTCATGGTTTAATGGAACAATAAAAAAAAATAACAGCAATGTATACTGCAGAATGTATTTATTCACAGAACATACACAAAGTTTCATTTTGCGACCGTAACGTTGACAGAGATGTTGATACCATCGGTACTGGTCTTTTGTAAAGCTCTAGATTTCTCGCATGAACTGGATGACATGGATGCCGTTTCACTTCGTCGCTTTCTTGGTTTCCCTTGCACTATCCTGCTCATAGTCGCCTCTTGTTCAGTACAGACACGCTTGTAGTTGCGAATGGCGTTACTCCTGTGACCGGTTGTTTTAGCAATCAACTGCTCATCTACACCTGAGCGAAACAGGCGCGTCGCACACGTTGCTCTCAACGAATGATTTGTGTAGAAACCTGAAAAGACAAATGTTAACCCAATCAAAACAAGTCAAGAGATGAATTGATGCTATATTTATGTAAAACACGCTTCGTCATTTACATCTAACTAAATTACAGGTAAAGAAACACCTGGTTTAAGTAAGGAATGTATTATAAATAAATGTTCTCATTTGACACTGTAAAGTTGGTAATATATTTTGAGTAATGCAGTTTTTTAGATAAATGAATTTGAAAATCTTACCACTGAATCCGGCAGCAGCGCACAATCTGGACACCGTTTTACTCAGTGTGTGTTCTCCTACTGGCGACACTGAATACCATCGATCAGGCCTGGGTTTACTAAGTGGACGTAAGTATAAAGCTGTAGGAGCATCAGCAGGACGAAGACCGAGGTACTTCCGGTACAGGTGGACGATGCATTTATCAGATACATCACTAGCATACGCAGTAACACTTTTGGGTGTAACATGGTAGTCCTTCAAACCACGTTGATTGCATTTACTGACCTTTTCATGGTAGCGTATGAACTCACCCTGGTCATTTTCTCCAATTTCAATTTGATCAACTGTCAAAATTCTGTGTTCAACGCCACTGCGTAAAGCGAAGTTGAGGCCAATTAAGTATAGCATGGTATCAAGCAGCGTCTGAGGAGATGAATCGCCAAGAATACCTTTATCCCAAAGTACTTGCTCCTGATGTACAGTAATCACATCTGCCTGTCTTGGATGCATTCCAAGTCCTTCGCTTGCCCTCACTTTCATGACATTGTCCAGTGTCGTTTGCAGTTCTGTGTAAACCGGGTCTGATAAGAACTGCACATTTCTACCCAAATTCACCAACTTCATTTGGATAAGCAAAACCAACTGTCGTAAAGTTTTTGGGGGATAGTTTTCGCCGTTCTCCTTTCTCACTTCCATAATAAATCTACACAGACAATAATTAAGTTCGTCATCATTCAGATCCTTTAGATCATGCGGAATCAAACTAAGTCGATTCCCGGATGTATCACCATTTAGTATCCTTCCATTCCTCGAAATTCGCCAAGATTCAAACAGACGACATGCCCATTCTATAGACTTCTGTGTTTTCTGTGGCACTATCTTCTTGCTCATTTCCGTAACTTCCCGATCAGATAAGGGTTCACCGAAGCGTGTATTAGTTGATGTGCTTGCATATTGCCTTTCCATCTCTTGTGAAACTGCATATATCATGTCATCATCGCTCGAAGACAAAACAAGAAATTCACTTTTCTGTTTTTTAAACAACTCACTCTCAATCTGTTGAGAAGCTACATACATGGCATCATCTTCACTTGACGGTATGTCACAATGTTTATCCGCAGTCTGCCTATTCCCGGCAACGCCGTCGTCGTTGTCGCTAATATCACTGTACTGAGTAGCATAATTTGTCGGATAAACTTCATTACAATGAACATTTGAGCTCAAATATATTTGTGAGCACGGAATAAAATCTTCTTCAGACATTCTGGACCCATTTGTTGCTGACACTGGCAATGGCGGTGAATGTGAGAGCATGTTTCTTGATGAACGTTTGCGCATGCGGGAAAATCATTCATTTATAACTCTCGTACAGGGCAGACTAACATTCAATCATTCGCCTCTAACCGAGAATAATATATCAAATAGTACAATTACTCTGCGCATTCAGGGGCACATTACATTGTCAAACAGCCCTTATCGTGTTCAGATATATCAGATGGCACGTGCTGTAAGTGACATGTGAATGCACGTGCAAAACGAAATTTTCATGGACCTTAAGTGTGAAAATAAAACTTTTACTACGCGAAAGCGCAACTAAATATAGTGCATTGAATTTATCATTGTTTTGATAATGTTTAGTGTACATGTAGCCATTTAATTATGTGTCATGGTTTAAGTCGGTTAGACCACTCGGACCTTGGCGTCGTTGAAGTGGTTAGTTAGATCACTCGGCGCTACGCGCCTCGTGATCTAACTAACCACTTCAACGATTAGACGCCAGGTCCTCGTGATCTAACCTATACATATTCTATACTATAAGCATATTAATATTGTGCAATACCATCACGCTTTCGGCTTATCCTACACGTTTGTAGGTCAGTGAACATCAACACATGCAGACGACAAGTGTCTGTATATACTGCATGTAAATATTGTGCAATACAATCAAGTTTTTACAATACCTTGTGATGGGCCAGGGTTGCGGGACCGATGCCGTCTTGCAGTCAGTAGAGACAGTATGACAGAGCGGTTTATGAGTTACACTGTACTCCCAGCGTATGTCCTGGATACTGTCCTTCGAATTACAATGTCAAGGTCGAAATGAGATAACGCAGATAGTCCACACTCTATGACCATTCATCTGATTGTTATCACAAGGTGCGTTATGTTTGTATAGCACCGAGCCATGCATATACATAGGACGAGATATGTGATATGTAAATAGTAAATATAAATAAATGCAAATACATACTATCGTGTAAACTCCAATATGGATAATTGAAAACTGAGCGGCGAAATAAGAGTTAAACCTACCGTATTTTGAAATTTCATTTTGACATACTGTAGATTACATGACACCTATTATTATTTGGAACCGAGCCCATAGACATAGTTAAGTTACATACTGATTATTTTTATTTTCATTTTCCCCATATATTCTAATAAATTTCAAACAGAAACGGATCAGGGATGGTTCAGAAACGGTTCAGGGGTGGTTCAGAAACGGTTCAGAAACGGTTCAGGGATGGTTCAGAAACGGTTCAGGGATGGTTCAGAAACGGTTCAGGGATGGTTCAGAAACGGATCAAGAACGTATGGTTCAAGAAGGCATCAAAACGGATGATTGAGAAACGGACCAAGAACGGAAAGTCCAGAAACGTATCAAGAGCGGATGATTCAGGAAGGGATCAAGACCACAGGCCCGCGTGTCTTTGCGAGGATTAAAGATGTTAAAAACACATAAAACATTTGAGATGACCCCCGACTCGAAATGCTTTACAGTACAATACATATTATGACAAGGCCGGACACTTCGGTGTACCCTACCCGCCTGCTTTCCCGATCGCTACGCTACCATCGCATGCAATCGATTAAAACGTAATGTAAACATAATCATGGATGATTGGCCTATCGATCACCACTCATGACACCTACCAATTCTTTATTGTCATTTCTGCAAGTCGATTGAAACCCGATTTTGACCCCCAATTATAGTCTGTTTGCATTGAAAACGTACCGATGAATGTCAATTTAAACAAAAAAGTAAATCTAATAAGATGAAATTAAGATTGCGAATCCTCATAATTTTACCTTGCCAAGTGACCATTTAAATCTCAGAATTTTATTCATCTTAGGATAAAAGTTGTTTAACAAACGATCATAGTTTCAAATCGCTATTATTGGTTTGTATTTGTAAACAACTTTTGTCCTACAATGAATAAAATTCAGAGATTTAAAAGTTCAGTTGGCAAGGCAAATTTATGAGGATTCGCAGTCGTAATTTCACTTTATTTGATTTACTTTTTTGTTTAAAGTGAAATTCATCGGTACGTTTTCACTGCAAACAGTCTATAAACGATCTTGACACAAATGGATGACGACCTGTCCGCCGAAGACGGGTGTGTGGTCATAGCAAGCCCTACGATGGTAGCGTAGCGATCGGCAAAGCAGGCGGGTGGGGTATACCGAAGTGTCCAGCCTTGTCATAATGTATTGCACTGTGTTGCATTTCGAGTCGGGGTCATCTCAAAAATATTTTTTTTTAATCTTTAATCTTCGCAAAGACACGAGGGCCTGTGATTAAGACCGGATGGTTCAAGAACGGATGGTTAGGAAACGAATCAAGAATGGATGGTTCAAGAACGGATCAAGAACGGATGATACAGAAAGGGATCAAGACCGGATGGATGGTTCAAGAACGGATCAAGAACGGTAGTGTTTATGAATACCTAGTTACACATGGGCATTTAAGAACTGTCCGAAAAAGGATGGTCACTTATGGTAATACATGTAGCAAATATTTCTTAAGGACTATTTACTTATTTATTACTTATTCAAAATAACATTTACAAAATACACAGAACTGGTGAAATAACCCGCAGGAAATTGCATTCAATGCCGAGGAAACCCCCATATTTGCACCGCTAGGAGTCAACCAAGTCAATTCTCGATAAATTTCGGCCTTGACATATCGGTTAAAACACATTAGCTTTCAAAATGAGTTTTCAAATAACAGCTATAAATGTTTATCTTATATTTTATCTCAACATGTTGAATATTTGCATTGTTTGGACTCAACCAAGTCAAATCAACATGGTATCTCCATGGCATCTCCTATTATAGGCATCAGTTCCCAATTGCGCAGATCGATGCTTATGTTGTTGAGTCACTGGATTGTCTGGTCCAGACTCGATTATTTACAGATCGCCTGTTACGACGTAAATTGTAAATAAAACGCAAATTGTAATACTTGCAGCAAATTGTAATAAACTTGACGTAAATTGTAATAAAACGTAAATTGTAATAAAAATTGACGTAAATTGTAATACGCAATTGTAATAAAATTGACGTAAATTGTAATACTTTTCGTTGCGGTAAAATGTAATAAATATTTACGTAAATTGTAATAACAGTTTTAATCACTCGTAACACACGCGGGTGTTTGTTTTTGTTGCATTTCATACATCAAAAGCTTGTTAGGGCGATAACTCAAGAAAGAAATGATGGATTTTGTTCAAATTTGGTAGCAAGGTATATTGGCGAGATTCACCGACACAAGTGAAATGGAGTGACCTGGAGATAATTTCAAGGTCACAGCAAAAATCTGAGGGTTTTGCCAATATAAAGATTGTTAGCGCGATAACCCAAGAATGAATTGACAAATCTTAGCTAAATGACAAAAATGATAGTCGTCCTGATATATAATCGATATAAACTGTCCTCTGTATCATGTCTTTTCGCAAATATCTTTTGAGGTTTTGATATGTATACATATAAAGTGGGGGTGGGTTTCTCACGGGTATATCTAACACACTTGCATGCATGTGGAGTCGGAGAGGTGGGGGGGTGTTCTAACGGGTATAACTACGAGGGGCGTTCAAATAGTAGTCAGCCTCACCTAGAATATGATACAAATGCAGCTGTTTTTATGTTTTATTTTTCTACATAGTATCTGTCAGCCTCAAGCAAATTGGTTTTGCTATGTTGCAGCCTCACGATCCCATTTTGTAAGACTTTGTATCTTGGCTTGGTACTCCCAAAAAACGTAAAATCTGCAATAAACTGCATCACAAACTTCAGGAAACAAAATATGCTATGTTTGAGATTGGTAGAAGTCGTCTAGAATCAAACTTAGGTATTAAACTGCACAAAAAAGCAATTTGAAACTACAATCGCTTGTTCAAATGACTCCCCATTCTGTTTACTGAAAGAACTCGAGAAAGAAATGATGGATTTTGTTCAAATTTGGTACCAAGGTTTATTGATTGGAGATTGGAGATTTACCGACACCACTTGAATTTTGTGACCTTGAGGTCATTTTAAAGGTCATATGAAGGTGTAACAGTTTTGCACATGCCAAGCTTGGTAGCCGCGAACTCAGGAAAGTATTAATAGATTTTGATCCAATTTTATATCAAGGTGTATTGGCGGGATTCCCCCCAACACCAATTGATTGGGAAACTTGTGCTCATTTTAAGTTCACAGTGAAAAGTGTTTTGCACATGTCTAACTTTTGCTTAAAGGTAGTACCAAGATGCGTTGGGAGTATCGTCTAACGCCAGTCGAATTCAGTGACCTTCGGATTATTTTCAAGGTCAAAGCGAGTATTCTTGAATATCTCCAAACCTAATGGATGGAATTTGTTCGCATTTTGTATCAAGGCATCAGATGACAGTTTCGGTAACGTTTACATAATTTTCAGGGTCAGACAGAG